TGACACATATGACACATTTGTTGCTCTTTTTGTGCAGCTGTTCGTTTGTTGTAACAAACATTCGCCTTTTTTGAAACAAACCGTCAGTCTTCAACTAGGCGCCGCCGTGGGATCCGGTGACTTCGTCGCCGCAGTAGTGCGCACGGCCGCAACGGCAGTGGGATCAACTGGGGAGGATGCAAAGACGGAATCGGTGAGTGAACGGCGCGGAGATATTTTTCAATGCTTCACGCATGTGTTAGCAGCAAGGAGTGAATGCGCGGTTTTCGAAGCGCCATTGCAGGCGTGCTTCCCCGGATGAGTTCCAAACTGCTTTACAAGGGGGGTGGGGTCTCCGATGTTATTGGTTAGAGACCGCGCGAAAACGCCCCGTGTGAAAAATACAGCGCCCAAATTGGAGGGGAAGTTGACAGGGCCATAGGGACTCCGGAGCGAAAAGTTGGGGACACCTTCTGGGCGACTGACCTCTAGCAACCACCGAAAGGAGCGCGCCCACGGCAGGACGAAGCACATCTTCGTGGGCGATTCGCAGATGATGTCCCTCCGCAACGCGTTCCACCGCCTCAACAAGTGCCCCGAGGTATGGTGGTCCAACCATTCTGCGCAGGACATCGAGGACCTGCTGGGGACGGTGAAGAGGAACCAGAAGTTCTCATCGAAGACCAGGAGCGAAGAAGACCAACACTTCCCACATCAGAAGGGAATCGACCCGTAAACGCTGCCCGCTTCCCGCCGGCACGGCCAGATGCGCCCCGACAGTCTGGTCAGAAGGCACCCCAGAAGAGGCCCAGGGCCCAGTGTGGTCAGAAGGCGCCCCAGAAGATCGTGTTTTTTTCAGTCGGGGCCCTGAAGAAGGAACCTTTTTCGTAGGGGAGGGGTTCCGTATTCCTTGATTGTTTCGCAGCTTGCCTTAGGCGTTCCTTAGGTTTTCGATGGGGAATCGAACTTTACCTGATGGGAAAAAGGGGCCTCGTTCCTTACTTAGCTCGGGGGAAAACAAACCTACCTCGCTTTTGACCACCCTCGCTTCCAAAAAATACCAAACAATGCCAAATTGCGGCCTGTACTGGTCAGGACGCTTGACGAGGAGGCGCGTGGTATGGCTTGGTTTTGCCTGGAAGCGAAAGCGGGGGAGGTAATTCACGCTCTGATTAGCGTTCCTTAGGTCAACGCCCCCACTGCATTGTCCCTGCAGCATGACGGCATGAACGCGCGCTGTCCGAGCTTCACGCTGCTTCCCAGGAGCGGCGCGCGCCTCCGGCGCCACCCCCGGCACGCTGCGCGCGCTCGGGGGGGGGGGGGTCCAGCGCCGATCGAAGACATCCGCGCGGGCTTCCGGAAGTAAATGCATACACGCACACACACATACATATATATATATATATATATATATATGTATATATACATATATATATATACACATATATTTATATATATATATGTATATACACACATGCGTGTGTGTATATATATATATGTATCAATATCCGTGTCCTGTTCTACAGGAGTAAGGCCCGCTTCGCCTCCCGTGCCGAGCAGTCTCCGGACACCAAGGAGCTGCCCCGTGGCTGTTCGGAGGAGGGCATCGCGTCGTTCATCCAGTGGGATGGCTGGGTCAGCCACCAGCTGCCCGTGAAGGAGATCAAGAAGGAGATGGAGCTGGTCGGTGTGGACCCCGTCGAGGGGGACAACGTCGTCGTCTGGGTCGGGTCGAACTTCCTGACGAAGAACCACCGGATGGGCGCCCTGCTCCAGTCTATCAATGCGCTCCACGAGCTGAAGGTCAAGATGGTGTGGGACTCGCCGACCTTCCACGACGAGGCCATTATGGCCGCTACGACGACCCACAACTCTGGAGTCGACGCTCGCACCAAAACACCCATCGTATACAACGACATCGCTCAGAGGAAGAAGAGCGGGCGCATGGGTTCCAATGAGTACCGTACCGAGAAGGAGCTCTACGCGCAGGGCATCGAGGTTCCCACCACGAAGCGGTGGCAGATCACCAACCGCTACCGCGGGCTCCAGTGCGACGGTATCCACACAGACATGCGTGCCAGGGACCCCCTGTACTACGACATGCCCTGCCCCATGGGGGAGCAGGCGTACGGCCAGTCCGCCTACTGCACCTGGGTGGAGCCGTTCAAGAAGGAGCTGAGCAGCATCTGCCCGTACGCCTACGGGCTGGACGACATGGTTCTCCAGAGCGGCCTCTATTCCATGTGCGCTGCGCACGAGAAGCCCTTCTGCTACTCGTACACCGAGCACATCCGCTGAGCGCCTGGACCCCGTGCCGCGAGGATCGCGCACTCGGATACCACCCCTCACCCATCTCGCCAGGGCCCCCGTCCATCCCTCCCTCCCTCCCTTCCTCCTTCCATTCCTCCCTCCCTCCCTCATCCTCCTCCTTCTCCTCCGTCTCCTCGCGAAAGGGAGAGCATTCATCATTTCAAGAATCACTGCGTAAACATACACTCTCGACGGTCCGCGCGGATTTTTTGGAACGGCGCTTGGGCTACCCTGGCGGCTCTTCCAGCGCAGATCCAAGAAATCCGCGCGGAGCGCCAACGGGCTATGTTTAAGGTTGTTTGTTTCTTTCTTCTAGGGAGAGCGTCCAGTACACCTGGAGGCCCTATTCCGGCCCAGACTTTGGTGGATCGACTTCAGCTGGCTTGGTGGTGAGTGTGGGGTGGGCACATCTTGTCGACTTCGGCCCATCATGCCACCGTGTCTGGGTAGTGGGGTCAAAGCGCAGTGGGAAACCGATCGGGAGTAACGCGGCTTCTATGATGTGGGTCTCTTGGGGTTGTTGGTCGAATCCTTATTAGGTTTGATGTGGAGTTCGTGGGGTCTCTGGTTGTTGCCTAGCTTCCTCTTGGACTCTTGGAGGCCATTTTGTCAACCGGTTGGGTGCATATTTTGCGCTTCCGAGGTTCTTGAGGTCGTGAGTCCATATTGGGGGGGAATGCTTCCAGCGCCCTTGTGGTGGCACGCCTTTGCGACTCATCTTAGGTCGTCTTGGATGCATGCTGTCGCCCCTCTTGGGAGCCTCGGGGGCGTATTGGGGATGTTTTCGGAGCCCGTTGGCCTTCTTTGACTGCCCCAAGAGCCGAAGGGGGATGGTGTTCAAGACGCGTGGAAACCCATGCCACGAAGCACCCTGCTTGTTTCCAGGGTACACCTTAGGCGATGCTTAAGAAAACTTAAGTTTTCGGCCAGAGTCTCGATTATTCTTAACGTTTCAATGTAAATCTTGAGATTTTAACGGAAACGTTGGGTTGTTATTCAAGTTCTGAGACTATGAATTTCTTAACCCATGATTTCTTAAGCATTTCGCAGGGTGTACCCTGGTTTTCTTGAGTTTCGTTGCTTCTGCTATGGAGAACGTGACGTTCCCACCAGAATCCAATGGACGTCCTGGGGGCTCAGGATTGGGTTTCCCGTGGAAGGTCTCTCTCGTCGAGCTCCTGCTGTATCAACCCTGGCCTCCCTGGGTGGCCACGCGGCCTCCCAGAGGGCCCAGGGGCCGCGGGAGAGGCCACGCGGGGCATCCCATCGGGGACGGACAGAGCCCCCAACAGTGACACGTCGATTAGTGAATTGTCCGTTTTCGGTTCTCGAGAGGGCGCCGCGGCCGTTATTTTCCAGGCTTGCGCCCGCCAGGTTTGGGCCTCAGGTCGTTTTCACCAAACCACGTTGTACTAAAGGGGGGTCTGTCCATCCCCGATTCCAGGAGCGCCCGCAGATCACGGCAGCTGAGGGGTCTGGTTTTCGAGAGGAATGCCACCTTCGAAGAAGAACAACCTAACTTGGTCGCGCTCAGTGCGGATTTCTTGGATCTGCGCTGGGCCCCCCTGGCGGCGCCGCCACCCCTGGCGCGCTCCGCGCTCCAGGGAGGGGGGTCCGGCGCGGGTCCAAGGAATCCGCGCGGACCTCCAGGCCACGCTTCTATGGTTGTTTGTTCCTCTACACACGTTGCACGGTGGGCTACTGAGGACCCGAAGATGCTCCACTCGGTGCCTGCTGCGCGGCGGTGGCTCTCGAAGGCTCCTCCGACAGTTCCTTGCCCGACGTGTGTCCGCACATGACTGCGCTGGAGCATCCTGACGCCCCTTGGGGCCTCGTGCGCTCGTCTTGGGGTCCCGTGCAACTTCGTGGCGACATCCCTCTTGGGTCATCTTGGGACTCGCTTGGGGCTCTCTCCCAGACATCCGCCAGGTCGACCCCGAACCCCCATCGTCCCTTTCCCACTGGCCGTTTTTTTTCTCCTGCGATGCGTTGTTTGCTAACGTACGGCCCCCATCTACTCCAGCTGGTCAGATTCCCTCGTCTTCGTCGTCACCGTCCTCCTCTTCCTCCCCCCCGATGTGTTCTCTGCTTGCGTACGGCCCCCATGTACTCAAGCTGGTCAGATTCCCTCATCTTCGTCGTCGCAGTCCTCTTCCTCACCCCCCGCTGGTCAGAGCCTATCCTCGCCATGCTCTACGACCTTATTTTCCTCCTCCTTCTCCAGCCCCTCGTCAGCATTGTCATCATACTCATGATTACCATCACCGCCAGCATCATCATCATCATCATCATCATCATCATCATCATCATCGTCGTCATCGTCATCATCATCATCATCATCATCATCATCATCAGCATCATCATCATCATCATCATCATCATCATCATCATCATCATCATCATCATCATCATCATCATTATCACAGTCATCAACATCATCTGCAGCAGCAGCATCACCATCACCAGCATCATCATTTATATCAGTATCACCACTACCCTGATCAACAGCACCATCATCATCATCAGCATCATACTCATCATCGTCATCCTCATCATCATCATCGTCATCGATGGTCATGGAATAGGCATAACCATCATCAGCTTCAGTACCGTCACCGCCGCTGCCATCATCATCAACATCATCAGCATCATCATCATCAGCATCATCATCAGTATCATTATCATCGTTGGTATCAGCATCGTATTATCATCACCAGCAACATCAGCCTTATCTTCACTATCATCATCGTCATTCTCATCACATCACCATCATCATTATCAGCAGCATCATCATTGCCATCCTTATCATAGCCATTACCATCTTCATCATCAGCAGCAACGCAACCATCAGAAGCAGCATCACGATCAGCACGATCATCATCATAAGCATCATCACCATCATCACCATCATCACCAGCAGCATCATCATCAGCATCATCATATCATTATCGTCATCGTCATCATCATCGTCATCATCAGCATCATGATCAGCAGCACCGTCACCTCTATCACCACTATCATCATCATCATCATCAACATCATCATCATCATCATCATCATCAACATCAGCATCGGCATCTTCTTCATCATCATCATCATCATCATCAGCATCATCAGCACCATCATCATCAACCCTGTCCCCGTCCTTCTACCCTCCCCCCTGCCTTTTGAAACTTGCCCCGTCGGGGCGGTCACGGGCGGGAAGTGCCGTCCGCCCGAGCGGGTGCTGGACCGAATCTGGGCCGCCATTCTGAGCGCGAGCCTCGAAGGATCCACCTCGTCACCGGCCTCCTCCAGAGATCGAAAGGACACGCTTTTGGTGGCCGCGGTACGCGTTGGGTCTCACAGGCCCCCTAGAGGCGTCGGGGACCTCTGGGGGCTTCCACGGACCTCTGGAGGCCTCGGGATGCCTCCAGAGGGCATCGTCGTCATCCTCTTCTCCCTCGTATTCCTCAACATCTCCCCTTCTTGCTCTTCATCGGCGCCATCCTCCTGCTTCCCGTCCACTTCATCCGCGTTTCCTTTGTCATCACAAATTCAAATCGTCCTGCCCCATTCGCCCGCTGCCTAGGAGGTGGACGGTCTAGGGGCCGCGGAGGAGGAGGAGGAGGAGGAGGAGGAGGAGGAGGACGAGGGGGAGGAGGAGGACGAGGAGGCGGGGAGGAGGATATATGAGGAGGAGGACGAGGAGGAGGAAGGAGGTCCAGGTGGAGGACGAAGCGGAGCTCTTCGCTCCGTCCCCCCTGCTTTCGTCCGCCCCGCCTCCCAATGCGTGCCCCCGACCTCGTTCCTCCCGGCTCCGCGGCGACGAGGGCGAGGGGGAGAGGGAAGGGGGTGCCGCGGGAGGGAGGGAGATCGATCGAGCTCTCGGGCCAGTTCGTTGCTACACTACCTCGACAGGAGCATCGCAGCTGTAAACACATCTCGTATGGCCCAGCTGTGGTCTCTCCATTGGCAGGGGGTCGCGGGCGCTACGTGGCGGGACGGAGGGGGTGAGGGCGGGGGATGAGGAGGGGGACGACGATGAGGCTGAGGGGAGGGAAGAGGACGTTGGCCAGGAGTACGGCGGGCGAGGAGGCTGAGGGGGAGGAGGAGAGGGGCGGGAGCTCTGGCAGGCTTTCGTGTGGCGCCGGCGCCCGTGTTCTCTGGCTGGCTACCAGAGAGCCCCTTGCAGCTGAGGCGGCTCTGGGCTACGTGAGCCGTCGCTACTCTCGAGCTCTGGCCTGAGGCTGTATGGGCCGACTGCGTGTGAATTCGCGCGGGCACTCTGGGCACCCTCTTCGGAGGTCCGCCGCTCGCTTCGCGCACGGCCAGCTCGGGTGTTCTGCACCTGGCACGGAGGCACGTGGCGTGTGAGGGGTATGCCGACACGAGTGGGGGGGAGCATGTGGATACCGCCGCGACACCTTCGGTCGAATTCGCTAGGGGCAGGCCACGAAACACGCCAACGGCGTGCCGAATGAGCTTGTTTCTTCTCTTGGGGCAGCGGCCGTCTCGGGCCCCGCCCCCCCCCTCTCCCCATGTGATGTTACGTTCCGCTTCGGCGGCGTCCGGGAATGCCTAGAGGATGACCGAGGACCAGTAGGAGCAGCATGTAGTTGGCGATCTGCGCCACAGCGCCAGTGTACACCGATGTGTTCGCGCGCACCACAGTGCTCGCGTGCACCACCACGGCGCCAGCGTACACCGCAGCAGCCGTGTGCGACGCAGCGCCCCATGTCCACCACAGTGCTCGCGTGCACCACGGCGCCTGCGCACACTCCACGGCGAAGGTGTACACCGCAGCAGCCACGTGCAACACAGCGGGCGTGCACACCGCGGCCGTTGCGTATACCGCAGCATCCGCGCGCAGCGCAGCGGCGGTGTGCACCACACCGCCTGCGTCCATATGACAGGTCGAGTGAGCATGTCGGTGACGAGTTGCTGCGGACAACGAGACGCCACGCAAGGGAAGTGCTGATTATGAAATGCGATATGTTTCCGTCCTCCCTCCTCCTCCTGCTCCTCCTCCTCCTCCTCCCCGTTCTCGGCGGAAGCCTTTTGGACGCAGATGGGAGGAGTTAGGATGATGCGGGGGGGCTTGGGAGGACTCGTGAATTCCAACGGCGCTCCTTTTTTGAACAAGGTTCCGCGTGTACTTTTACAATCTACATACAAGGAAATGCTGTCTGTGGAATCCACAGGCGCTTCATTTTGTCATACAATTTCCTTTTGTCATTGTATATATATATATATGCAACAACGGTGTTCGGTTGCACACGGTTGCTGTGGCGCACTCGGGCGCCGTTGTGTACAAAGCTGACCATATGCGCCCGCGCCACCCAATACAGCGCATCGTGGCCCCAGAGGCAGCTCCACGGCCACATGGAGAGCTCCACCGAAGGCCCCCGCGGCTGTGACCAAAGGCGCCCGCGCCACTCAGTACTCGGTACAGCGTTTCGTGGTCCCACATGGAGCTCCACCGAAGGCCCCAGTTTTTCTTGAATGAACAAAAAATCCGAGCCGATAACGGCCGTCATCTCGGGGGGGGGGAGGGGGATGGGCTGCCTGTGTACTCCACCATGCCTGCGTGCACCACAGTGCCTGTGTACCCCACGCTGCGTATGCACACCACAGCAGCCGCGTGCAACACAGCTCCGGTGTGCACCATAATGCCTGCATGCATCACAGCGCTTGTGCGCACCACATCGCCTGCGTACACCACACCAGCCGTATGCAACACAGCACGAGTGTACACCATTGTGCCTGCGTGCGCCACAGCCCTCTGGGGTCACGAAGCGCTGTATTGGGTGGCGCGGACGCATGTGGTCGCTGCCACTGGAGTTTTCGGTTGAGCTCCCAATGGGGCCAAGAAGCGCTTTATGGGGTGGCGCATGAGTAAGCTGGTGTGCGACTTCAGTAGGCCGCGGAATTGGCATGACAATTGTTTCACTGCTTCTCAAAAAAGTGCCTCTTGAAACGAGCGCGGTAAAACAAAACGGCGACAGGATACGGCAAAATAGTTAATGTGGGATTGGATCTGGAACCGGATCCGGGAAAGACGCGGCGATAGAGCCGGGACAAATTGCGCCGCCGTTGCCGCCGGCAAAGGGATTGCATCACGGAGCCAGTAATAAACATTGCCCTGTCGTTCCCAGGGCCCGCTAAGAGTGCGACTGATTCGTGCGTAGGGGGGGGCAGCCGCAAGACAACGGACGATGGCGACGGCGGGGCGCTACAGCAGACGACGGAGACGAAGAAGAGAGAGGAATGGGAGGAGGAAAGGAAGGGAGGGAGAATAGGGGAGCAAACATGTATAAACATAACAACTCGGAGGTCTGCGCGGATTCCTCGGATTGGCGCTGGGGCCCCCCGGCGGCGCCTCCAGCACCACCGCTGGTGCGCTCCTCTCGCCAGGGAGGGGGACCCAGCGCGGATCCGAGGAATCCGCACGCTCCTCCGAGTTCTTATGTTTATGTCATTGTTTGTTCCCCTATAGGGTCTGGCTTGAATATGGAACGCTTCCTTTTCAAAAGGGGCTCGGTCGTTCCTTTGGTTTGCATGCGTTCTGCTACCTGTTTGGCGGCGAGCCCCCCTGGTGTTCCTTCGGACTTCCTGGACTTACTGGGAGAAGAAATGGGATTCGTTCCATATTGTCTTTGTTTTCCTTTTGTCAGGCCGAATACTGTAGAGAAGGGGAGGAAGGGAGGGATGGAGGGAGGAGGGAGGGAGAGCAGGAGAAAAGGAGCGCCACGCGGGGGTGGGGTGGCCCACGGGCGCTGGCCTCTCTGGCGGCCGAGGCCCCCTCCCCGCCCCCGAAAGGGGCAGCTCGGCTCGCCCCTGTCGGGCGGCGTGGTGCGTCTCGTGGCCTCGTCTCGGCGCTCGTGCGCTTGAGAGCCGTCGCTGCCGCTGCATCGGCGGACGAGGAGGAGGGAGAGCGAGAAGCAGGGAGAGGAGGAGGGGTGGGGGAGGAGGAGGAGGAGGGGGAGGGGAGGGGATCGGGGAGGGAGGGAGGAAGAGGAGTTGAGCGCGCTCGCGCCCTAGCTGACATCTCATGCCCCATCCATCCCAACCCTTAGCCGACTTGCGCTCCCTTCCCGCCACCCGCAGAGTCGAATGTCGAAGAGCACACGGACCCCGAAAGGGCAGCAGTGTTATGAACATTGTCCTCCTCCTCCTCCTCCTTTTCCTCCTCCTCCTCCTTCTCCTCCTCCCTCCTCCTCCTCCTCCCCCTCCTTCTCCTCCTGCCTCCTCCTCCTCCTCCTCCTCCTCCTCTTCCTCCTCCTCGATCCGAGGGGGCCCCCGTGAGCGCTGACCCCCAGGACCCCAGCTTCCAGGGAGGGAAACAAAAACACCCCGCCCGTGCGCGTTTCCTGAACGGCCCTGTCCTGTTTGGGATTGCGAGTCGGCTTCGCCCGTCCGGTGTGTTTTCTCGGCTTCGCCCGTGGATGTTCTATTCACCACTCATGCCCAGGGCCCCTGGAATGTAGCAACACTCGCGCGTAGCAATGAATTGTCGTCAGCTCTGGCAGCACTGGGGCACGCTGCCTGTACCCTTGTTCCCTCAGCGGGTTCGAGCCTCACGTCCACGTCGTCGGCGTTGTCGTCGTGCGTCGTCGGCGTCAGCGTCGTCGTCGTCGCCGTCGCCGGCGTCGGCGTCGGCGTCGACGTCGACGTCGACGTCGACGTGGTCGTCGTCGGCGTCTTCGTCGTCGTCGTGGTCGTCGTCATGGTCGTGGTCGTCGTGGTCGTCGTGCGCCGTCGGGTGTCGTCCGTCGTCCGTCGTCCGCCGGCCGCCAGCCGCTGCCCGCCGGCCGCGGGAGAGCGGGCGGGGCCGCCCAGGCGGCTCGGAAGGAGAAGGCGGGCGGCGCCCACAAAGCCGCCGCCGCGCGCGCCCGCGGCGCAGCGCCCGTGCGCGCCGGCCCTGGGCAGGGGAGGGGGGGGAGGAGGGCGGCGACGCGGGGGGGGAGGAGCACGTGAGGGCGATACAGGGGAGGGAGGGAGGAGCGAGGCGGAGCGGGGAGGCGCGGCACTGGGAGGGATGGGGGAGGGAAGAGGGAGGAGGGGGAGGACGGGGAGGAGGAGGAGGAGGAGGAGGATGAGGAGGAGGAGGAGGAGAAGAAGGAGGAGGAGGAGGAGGAGCAGCAGCAGGAGGAGCAGCAGGAGGAGGAGGAGGAGGAGGAGGAGGAGGAGGAGACGCAGGAGCAGGAGCAGGAGGAGGAGGAGGAGGAGGAGGAGGAGCAGCAGGAGCAGCAGGAGGAGCAGGAGCAGCAGGAGCAGGAGCAGGAGGAGCAGGAGGGAGGAGACAGAAGGAGGGAGGAGGATCAGCGAGGAGGAGGAGGAGGAGGAGGAGGAGGAGGAGGAGGAGGAGGAGGAGGAGGGAGGAGCCAAAGTCGCCCGGAACTGCCAGGAAGCGCTGCCTGGGAGCTGCCGTCGAAGCACGCACGACATCCGAGCGCGCTGCCTTGGAGCTGCCGTCGAGCTGCGGTCGAGGCGCTGCCTGGCCGCTGCACGCGAGCCGAGGGGGCGCTGCCTTCTCCCAGCGCCCGCGGGCGAGGATGCGAGTGACTTTTCGACGGAGTCTCCCGGCAGTCTCGCCGACCTCTGGGCGGTTCTCCGGCCTCGGGAGCTGCGGTCCGGCAGCTCCGCCCCCCGCCGAGGGCGCTCTCCAGGGGGGCCCGCGTCGCCCCGAGCGGCCGCCCAGGGCCCGAGTTTGTGTGACACGAAGTCTGGGTGATCCATCGCGCGGGGGGGTGAAGCCCAACAGCGCAGGCCGCGACCGTCGCACCGCGCGCCACGGTCGGCAAGCCGCGCACCGGAGGCCACTCTGCTGCGACGGCATGCGAGCCTCTGCCCCTGCGGGGCCACTCCACGCTGGGGTTATCGGCATCGGATACCCCCGCTGGGGTCCACTCGGCTGGAGACCTCCTCCAGAGTCTCACTGCCAGCCTGTTGTTCCTAACTCTTGCCTGAAGAAGCCGGCTTCGCACGCGGTTGCCGTACTCTTGCCTTCGGCCACTCCTGCGTGTCGCCGATCGCTCCCTGTCGGCCCCATCGCCTCCAACTCCATCGCCCTGGAGGAGCACGTAGTCCCCTCGTGCGCTCGCCGGCCCTGGCGTGGGGCCCTCGGTTGGGACGCCGTGCGCGCGCGGCCCGCAGGCGTCGGCTGGGCGCGATCGTCGCGGGAGGCGTCGGCGCTGGCGTCGGGCGGGGCGCCAGGCGCCCTGAGCGGGCTGCGTCGGCCGCCGCCTGCCGCCCGGGCGGCCTGCTGCTCATCAGGGCCTGCGGGCGCTGCGCCCGCAGCCTGCGCAGCGCCGCTGCGCGCAGCCCGTCGGCAGCAGGGCGGTCGGCGCCAGCTCTGCGGCGAGCTCCCTCGCAGCCCTGAGCGCAGGCACCGCGGCCGTTGCCGGGGCCGACGGCGGCGGCGGCGGCGGTGGCGGCGGCGACGGCGACGGCGAGGGCGGCGGCGGGGGCGACGACGGCGACGGCGACGGCGACGGCGACGGCGACGGCGACGGCGACGGCGACGGCGACGGCGACGGCGACGACGACGGCGACGACGACGGCGACGGCGACGGCGACGACGACGAGCGACGTCGGGCGGCGTCGAGCGGCGCGCGCGGTGGCCGCCGCAGCACGCGCGCGGCCCCGCCGCGCGCCGGGCGCGCCGACGCCCGATGACCCGGCAGCAGGAGCTGCCGCGGCGGCGGCGGCTGTCACCGCTGCCGCTTCGATGCCGTCGCGGCCGCTGCCGTCGCCGTCGCTGCGGTCGCCGCCGCGTGTCGGCGCCGTCGCCGCAGCCGCTGCCGCCGTCGCGGCCGCCGCCGCCCCATCGCCGTCGCCGCCGCGTGGTCCGCCGCAACCGGCATGGCCTCTGGTGTCGCCGCGGGCGCGTAGGCGCGAGCGGGTGTCCCATACGTAAGTCTTACGCTGCAGGAGTGGCGGGATGCACACCATCGCTGCAGAGTTTTCACTTTTTGGGGTCAGTGGATAGCGTCGGCGTGGTCCACGCGTGCTCATGATGCCTCGGCATCATTCCGGGATTCACGTAAGCGTTCCATAAAGCCATGGTTTTGGAACTTTGGTGTGGATTCAGCATTGTCTTATATGATGATGTAGGCGTTTGTTGGCCTCGGAGGCCACGCAGGCGTTTGTTGGCCTCGGAGTCGTCGCCGCCGCCGTCGATGCCGTCGTCATGCGCGCCCTGCTCGTCCGGCTGCTGCTGCTCCTGGTCCTTGGCGCTTATACCTCCTGCCCTTGCCCCTCATCCTTTTCTTTCCCCCAGGCCTTTCTTGCAGATGAGACACATGCAAAGAAACACCCTGCTTGCCTCCAATGTCCCTTGGGTTTCGTGGTTTTCGATGGTTTTCTACGGAAAGCGTGGCGCCCCCACACCAACCATCAATGGACGTCCTGGGGTCTCAGGCTTGGGTTTCATGTGGAAGGTTTCTTGTGGACTGGCCTCCACTGTACTCGGAGGCCCCAGGGTGAGTCCGGCATTCGCTAGAGCCCCGCGTGGGGCTTGGGCGTGCTGCTTTGCGTGTTCAAGCGAGCGTCGAGTCGGCCTCTCGGTCCCGCTTCTGGGTTAAGGGGTTAAGCTTGCGATTGGTCAGCAGCCCAACGGGTTCTGTCGTGCTCGTCTCCCCTGACCCCCGGGATGAAGCCGCGTGGTGCGTCGATGTACGATTCACTCGCTCATCCTGAGTCTGCAGCCGCCGCCCTCCTTTTTGATCGCCCTCCTCCTCCTCCCTCTTTTTCCTGCTCCTGCTCCCTCTGCGCTTGCTATTCTTGCTTCTCACGCGCCTCCACTCCTTGATGTTCACGGGTGTAGGGCTGCCCCAAACGCCTTGTCTTGCCTTGCCCGTTTATGCTGCTCTTATTGTTGTTCGTCCTGCTTCTTTTTTCTCCCTTCGTGTTCCCGTCAACGCCCTTCCATCCCTCCCGTTCTCCTTCTATCGTCTCGCCGCTGCCCCGCTGGCAGCTATGACGATGACGGGGGCGACATCGGTCACGTTGACGATTGCGTCGTGACTCACTGGTTGTTTGACTGCCATAGCGCATACCCCGAAGACCGTGATCGTGATAATCATTTGGTGTCGATGGCGAGGGTGTTGTGGAGGAGGAGGAGCGGGCAGCGTGCTCAGATGCTACGGCGAACGTGTCGGGATGAACTCAGCATGGAGTTGAGAGCGTGGTCTCTCGCCAGTGCGTTCGAGGGAGGAGGGAGGAGGAGGGAGGAGGGAGGAGGTGTCCATCCAGATGTGCCAATCCCAGTCAGTCCTACCTTCCTCTGCGTCATGCTCACAAGGCTGCTGCTGCTGCTTCTTTCGCCAGTGCGTTCGAGGGAGGAGGGAGGAGGGAGGCGGTGTCCATCCAGATGTGCTGATCCTGGTCAACCCTACCTTCCTCTGCGTCGAGCTCCCACGGCTGCTGCTGCTGCTACTTTCGCCAGTGCGTTCGAAGGAGGAGGGAGGAGGGAGGCGGTGTCCATCCGGATGTGCTGATCCCGGTCAATCCTACCTTCCTCTGCGTCGTGCTCACGCGGCCGCTGCTGCGCTGTGTCCCCGTCTTGTCTCTTCCACGCCTCCCTCCGCGCCCAGGGCGCCATGGAGAGCGGCGACCAGGGCTCGCCCCTGTCGATCCGCCTGCACGAGGGCGAGTGCGCAGAGGCCAGACCGTCACCGCGGGTCCCGACGAAGCAGGAGAGAAGCTCAGGGACGGCCTCCCCCCCCCACCCTCCCACCCTACCCTGGCAGAGCCATCCCGGCGCCACCTCTGGAAGTCCCTTACCATCAGAATCAAAGTGTACATGGATTACATGCTGACTGCATTTGTTGGGATCTACAAATCGAGTATGATTGTGGGACGTGTCAAATGAATGTTTATTTCGGAGATCTCAGTGACGGCGCTGTGGCAAATCTACACTTGCAAGATGTGGCATGTGCAACGAACGATACATGTAGGTAAAACGCGACAAACACATCTTGTTGCAATCGCACGAAAAGCGGGTCCCACCGTCCCCCCCCCGACAGCAGATTCGAGGTTCAGCTTCCTTCGGGACACACGCTCGGGTGATTCTGGCCTTCTACCGACTGATGTTCAGCTCGATACTTATTGTTGAGGATGCCTGTGGCAAGTCAGCGCCGCTCCCTGGGAAGCGCTTTGATGCTAAAAGTCGGACGAAAAGTGTTGTCGCGCCATTGGGCTGCCAACTTTGCAAAGTTGCTTCAGATCGGCTCATGGAACGGCCGTGCGTATTGGGGGTATACTCAGGCGAACAAGCCATGACATAAACAAAAATCAGGGGGCCGCGCGGATTTCTCAGGTCCACGCGGAGTGTGCCAGGGGGCTCCAGCGCCGATCCGAGTAATCCCCGCGGCCCGTGGAGTTCTTATGTTTATTTCATGGTTCGTTCCCGTAGTACGTGAGCCATCTTGTGCCCTCCGTGGTCGTCTCAGGACTCGCTTGGGGAGCTCCTCTGCTCCCTATGGACCCTGGAGGACATCGTGGGGGCTCGGTGCCGTCTTGGGGTCCCCATTGGCTGTATTGTGGCCCGTTATTGGCCATTGTAGTGCCCGTTTGGACCGACTTGATGCGATCTTGACTGTCTTCTTCATCATCTTTGGGCGTTCTGAGCCCCGAAAGAGCGAGCATGGCGCAATCATGGCGCCTGGACATCGGTTTTGTACAAACTTGGGGGGGGAGGGGGGGGCGGCGGCAGTTGTCGAAGGGTACGCGGAATCCTGTGGAGAGGGCCTGAACTTTTTGAACATTCCTGATTACTGTGTTTGGATACGGCCGGACCGAGGTATAAGATGGAGGTCGGTTCGGGGAGGGTATTCTACCCGCACGACCCTCCCTGGCCTTGCCTGGGAGATCCCGAGGAGTCCAGCAGATCCGATGCGCGAGTCCCGAAGTTTCTGATGGGTCGGCTGCTATCTGCTATCGGAAACAGGAACGTACATATTACCATTCGGATGCAACTCTTGGGAGGTCAAATTCTGGTGTCGCCCTGGTCCGAAGTCCGGCTTAATCCTGCTTAATCCCGCTTAATCCGGCTTAATCCCGTTTAATCCCGCTTAGTCCGGCTTAATCCTGCTCAGTCCGAGACCCATTCCGGCGTAACAGCTCCCAAATGGGGCTCAATCCTCGCTAGCCTTTCCGAAGAAAACTCCCCAGTAGTTGCCTCCTAATTGCCAGTGGCAAGCTGTTTTTGCTTCCTAGGACGTTTTGAGGGTCTGGGGCGACGTCGGGGTGGTGTGGTGTATAAAGGTTTTCCGTTTTCTCTGAGGAAGCACCGAACATGTGGACAGCAGGATCCCGTAGACACCAGGATACGCTTGCCTGCACAGATGTCAGTGCAGGGCCAGAACAAAACCGCGTCGGTGCATGGACTTCGTTTCCTTCTCTCACCCTGTAGGGCCTGCTGGACCCCACACCACGGGCTCAAGGCTTGATGCTGCATGTCGGCGGCACGCCGAGGGGGAAGCCGAGAGGGGGCAGGGCCATTCGCTTCGAACTCCTGGTCTTCAGTCGGGTCTGTCCCTCTACAGGGGCAATAGTCAAAAATAGTTTAAAACATGGTGTGGGGACTTTTTTTTTGTTTTAAGTATTTTGGGGTATCTTTTGAGCTTGTTTTGCAGATTTCTATTGTTCGAAAATCCCCCCTGTAGGAGGACATGCCCGACTTAATCCTGGTCTGGACGCACCCCGGAAGAGGTCTGGGGAGCAGCGGTATCGGGACCTTTTGGCCCCCGCTTAAAGGTGCCCCAAGATTTCCAGGGAGGCCCCCACACACCACGCACCGAACCTCCCCAACCCAACGCGCAGGCCCCAATTTGCCCTCCATTCCCAGCGGGGGGGGCGTCGGGGAACGCTGAAAAAAACCCATGGGGAGCAGCGGTAACGTGACCTTGCTAGGCTTCCCCAGGAGGAGTGCCGGGGTTGATCCGCAGAGCACGGCGTCGGAAGTCGGGATGCGCAGGGTCAGGGTCCCGGAGCTCCCCATGGACAATCCCCGCATCGGTCCTCTTTGCAGGCAAGGTGTATATCCATATCCAGTGCGTCTCGCACTTTTTTGGGGAACGAGCGCCACAAGGCCGAGGCGCTCGGGATATGGGCAAAATCGAGCCTCTAGGGGACAGATTTTCATCCACATCCAGTGCGCCTCGGGCTTCTGGGGGATGGCGCACAAAACTCCGAGCTACAGCGGATGTGGAATGATAAAGTACTGCCCGCATTTCTCCCCACTCGGCGTCGAACCCCAGGGCGGGAGCCTCGGGAGCTGCGGGTTTCGAGGATCCAGGCTTCCGGGCGTGGTCTTCGGTTCTCGGCGTGGGCTTCCGACCTCTGGGTGCGTTCTCCAGCAGCTGCGCCTCGCCGAGTGCCAGCATCGCCCCGAGCGGCCACCGGGGAGGTCTGTTATGGCTCAAAAGCCACCGAGGAGTCCGAGAGGTGGCGGGCCTTCCCAGAAGGCTCGGAAGCCCCCTCGGCCTCCTGAGAAGTGCTCTGAGCTCTGCCCGAAAAACACGGAGAACGTCTCGGGAGACCACGGGCCGTCTGACAGGTCCCGCCGCCTTGTGAAAAAAGGCCCTCGCCTTCGCCCCCCCCCTCTCACTCGGCGCCGACCCCCGACCCCGACGCCGGGAAGTCTGCAATAGGGTGCTAAGCATGTGCAGTAACATGCATGGATGCGGAGGTCCGCGCGTATTTCTTGGATGGTTGCTCGACCTTCCTGGCGGCGGGAGTATTCGTGTGATCTCGACGGGATAGGCGAGATTCCAACAAGACGGGTGAGATCCCAACGGCTAAGAGCATTGGACAGGGGAGATGCGCACCAGGAATGTTCGAGCTCATTCAAGAGGCTCTCTGCATTCCGCCGGCCCCCACAGAGCAACAAAAACGTGGAAGGGTCTTGCAGGCCACTTGGAGCCGTCTTGTTGCGTCTTGGAGGCCACCTGGGCAGTCTTGAGGTCACCTCGGTTGTTTTTGAGCTCGCCTCTGCGCGTGGTAGCCCAGCTTGCGCCAGCTGAGAGTCCACGGAGCGTAGGCTTGGAGGCTCCGGAGGTCCCTAGGGTGCGTCGAAGAGCCTGGCCCCCGACACGAAACCCCCAAGCTCCCCTTGTCTCTCACACCTAGGGGTCAAGCGTTCGCAGACGTTGCCCGCCCAACCCCGTGCCATGCCATACCAAGCATTCGCAGACGACAACTACACACCACTACCATGCCTGGCGAGGGCCGTCCTGGGCCCCGCGATGGTGTACAGACCCTCCTGGTCTCGGCCAGGAGGCGTATACACCATGTAAGGACACAGGATGGCCCTGGCCAGACACGGTGGTAGCGTACGAGTGTACGGATACCTCCTGCGGGAAGCATGCGCTTCGTAAGTGCGCTGTGGACGCCTTGCTGCTCCTGGTGGGATCGCAACCGTCTTGCTGGGATCGCACCCGTCCCTCTGGCATCCTGCCCCATCGCCCGGCGGCGCTTCCGGCGCCGCTCCTGCAGCGGTCTTCAGGCCGAGTGTTTCGCTCCTCTGCCTGTACAGTCAACCCGCATAGCAAGGATGGGCAACCTTCTCAAGGGTACCCACGCATCCTTGCCTCGTCGGTCCATCCTTGGCCATTTTCGTTGGTCGCGCCCCGCTCGAGAAGCCTCAAAAGGGCCTTCCAAGGCCCTTGCATCCTTATCGTGCCTCCCTATGATACGGGCTGACTGTAGGGCGTCTTAGGGCTCGAGCTCTCTCCCGCGACCAGCTCTTCATACCGAGTTGCTCCTTGACGGCCTCGGGGGGCGCTTTATGGGGGGGCAATACACTGGGGGGCAGCGAGGGCTGCAGAAAAGAGGTCCTCTATAGGGCTGCAAGAGGGGCCCTCTCGGGCCCAGACGGGGCCTGAGAAGGGCACCTTTCTCCCCCTCCCCCAATTATCGGCCAAACTAATTCGCGCCCAGCGGCCCTGGGGCCCAGTGCGAGCCTCCAAATGCCGAGTTTGGCAAAAGCAATGTGCCCAGTGTGTTACTGTTCGCGGCGCGAGGGGGCCTGGACGAAGGATGTCGAATGGCCACCTGGACTATGTGGGACTTGTAAACGGCAGGGCAGTTTTTTTTCACCGCTTCCGACATGGTGTCTGTCGAACATGGAAACGATAATCCAAACAACGGAAAGGACATCAAAAACAGTTCCAGAATTGGAACTGGAGCTGGAACCAGCAAAAACAACGGCGACGGAACCGGCAACACATCGGCGACGGCATTTGCAAACAGCGGGCAGAGCGGAGTCGGTGAAAAAGCGTCCCTGTCGTTTCCAGGGCCCACTTCGCACCTGGACCCATGGCGTCCGTTCCGGCCAGGATTTCGAAGGGGGTCCAGCTGTGACAACGACAAGTTTCCGGGGGGCCCAGCAAGGGCAAACTTATCGTGGATCCCCATCGATGGCCGTTCTTTACCAGCCTGGAACATATCCCTATCCCTATGCTGGGCACCTCCTCATCACGATGCCAATCTTAGGGATTGCCTTATTTTTTGAGGGCGAATCCCTAAGATTGTCATCGCCTTTTGGCGTGTCAATCTTAGGGATAGGGATACGTTCGAGGCTGGTAAGTTCTCCCCCCTCGTGCTCCACCTCTGCACAGCATGTAGCTGCTGTGTGACGCTGCTCGCAAGCGTCGCTCACTCCGTCCAGCCAGTTCCAGCAGGCCCAGCATCTGGGCCTCGGCGGATCGGGCTGCATCGCCGACGCATCGGCGATACGGCTCGATGTGCAGCCCGACTCTCTCCACGCCGACAGGCGCCGATGCATCGCCGACTTTCTCTCATGGATCGGCGGTGTGGCGCGATCCTCCGACACCATCTCCTCGGAACCTGTCTGGGAGGTCTCCATAGCAGCAGCGAGCCCCGCAGCTCGCCCATCCCAGAGCTCCAGCGCCGGGTTTGTTTTTGCTTCGCACCATGGCTCTCCAGGGGTCTGCACCCCCATCCCCCCCTCCTCCTTTCGCCCCCCCCCCCGCCCCCCCTGGAGCCTGCTTTTGGCGTCCTCCTCTTCCTTGCACGCCTCTTCCTGACTCTTGGCCCCCTCCTCTTCTCCCTCCTCCTCCTCCCCGTTCGTTCCCCTTCTCCTCCTCCTCGTCCTCCCCCTCCTCCCCCTCTCCTCCTTCTTCCCCCACACATCTCTTCACCTTTCCATCCCCCGCGCAGCAGCGCCCAAGGGCCGGCTTCTGATCCTGAGTCACATTTGGACGTTTCCGGGGTCCGGTAAGGGCCCCAATAAAATAACACCATGTCAAGCACCATCAGTCTTTTTGTTGTGCGACGCGAGGGTGTCTAGGCCTGTCGCGTGTTTCTTTCTCTGGCACCGCCAGCCTGAAGATCTGCCAGAACTCACGACCAGAGCCCAGGCTGCTGCGTTCTCTTCGAGACGGGTCGATCTCCGATGTTCCCAAGGGCTCGAAACAGGGCGAAACTGCTCGGTGTGAAACAACGGCGACGCCCGGATATTCGGGAGCGTCCAAGAGGGGGGTGATGATTGGGGGGGATATGAAGGGGGGCATGGTATCTCCCCAGATTTCATGGCCCTCTCATCTCATTTCAAGGCGATAATTGGTCCCCCCTTCGTCCGCGCACTTTTGGCCTGCGGACGCTTGACTCAAGTAGCGTTCGAGCGACGGAGAAGCGTTTCCGAGGCGAATTGAGGCACTGAGAGATGCGGCGGGAGGCAGAGGGGGTGCGGGGGGGGGAAGGAGGCGCGCTCAAAACATTCAGTCCAATCCCTTCGTCCGCGCACATGCCTCGTCATGATGTGCTCCCCCCCCCCTCCCGGGACTCTTGGACGCCCCCCTCCCAGACTCGGGCCGGACCACTGGGTAGGATGGGAAACGGGTTGGCTACGACATTTTCTGCTCGCAGCTGGTTTCGGCCCCGCCGCTGGGACGATTCCGCGATAGCTGGGTGCCTCCCGGCGACAGGAGGCGCCAGGAGAACCAGCAACGTGAGCTGATTCTCTACCCTGCCCTGTGCTGACTGGCGGTAGGTTCCTGCGGCGATGGCGCGCTGGCGACGTTGGCGAAGGCGTGCAGGGTTGAATTCCGCACGATGGAGCGACGCGGAAGCACCCAGGGACACGGCAACGCCACGGGACCCGACGGGATTCCACCTAGAACGATCGGGGCCGCGATCGATTCAAGGTTGACCTATCGACGCGGTGCCAAACGCCTTTTCGCGCGCCGACGCTGCACAAACCCACCGTATGTGTGTTGATTCTCGACGTTACCTTTTGCTAGACTCGGGCGAGGTATCCATTTCGGGGGGGGGAGGCATGTGGAGAAGGAGCGGGCGGAGGAGGAAGGACAGATGGGGGGGGAGGAATGTGGAGGAGGAGGGGGCGGAGGAGGAAGGACAGATGGGGGAGGAGGAAGAGGAGGAGGAGGAGGAGGAGGAGGAGGAGGACGTCGAGAGGAGGAGGAGGGCAAGGAGAGGAGGAGGAAAGGAGGAGGACGAGGAGGAGGAGGAGGCGGAGGAGGAGGAGGAGGAAGAGCAGGAGAAGGAGGACGAGGGAGGAGGAGGAGGAGCAGGAGGAGGAGCAGGAGGAGGGGGAGGAGGAGGAGGACGAGGAGGAGGAGGCGGCGGAGGAGGAGGAGGCGGAGGAGCAGGAAGAGGAGGAGGAGGAGGAGGAGGAGGGGGAGGACGAGGAGGAGGCGGAGGAGGAGGAGGAGGATCGAGGTTCCCTGGCCCTCTTTGGGGGGCACTTGCACACATGTCGCCCCCCCCCGGTAGACGCCCTCGAAGCCTCCGGAGGGCCGCGCGGGGCCCGCCCGGCCGCCCCCTCTTCGCGAGCGCCCGCTTCGCGCCCGCCCGCGCCGGGCCGCCCAGGGCCCCGGCAGACCCCTGGAGGTGAACGCGCCAGAGGGCATCCCGTTCCGCTGCGCCGGCTTCGAGGGGCGCGCCGGCCCCCTCGTCAGGGGAGGAAAAGGTACCCTCGTACCCTTCCTTCGCCTCCTCGTACCCTTCCTCCTCGTACCCTTCCTTCGCCTCCTCGTACCCTCCTCGTACCCTTCCTTCGCCTCCTTCGCCTCCTCGTCGAGGGGCGCGCCGGCCCCCTCGTACCCTTCCTTCGCCTCATGGTTTCCCCACCTCGGTTTCCGCGTCGCCCAACTATGTCAGGTCAACGCAGAGTTGGTTGGGGGAGAGGGGCGGCGAGGCCGAACGTCATTGTCGTCGGAGGGATAATGAATCAAAGTTACTACATTATTATGTTGATTAGCGTATTCCGCATCCTCCTGCGATTAATTTTATTAGTGGTACTACGGCCATTATGATGACCATTGATTCTACTAGTACTAAGGCTATTACATCTACTTCTACCACGACCACCACTTCTACTTCTCCGGCTACTGGTACTACTACTACTACTACTACTTCTGCTTCTTCTTCGGCTACTACTACTACTACTACTACTACTACCACTACTACTACTACGACTACTACTACTACGACTACTACTACTACTACTACTACTACCACTACTACTACTACTACTACTACTACTACTACTACTACTACTACTACGACTACTATCACTACGACCACTACTATTTCTACTACTACTACTACTACTACTACTACGACTACTACGACTAGTACCACTAGTACTGCTACTACTACTACTACTACTACTACTACTACTACTACTACTACTACTTCTTCTAGTACTACTATTACTACCATACTAGAACGACGAGTACTACTACTACTACTACTACTACTACTACGACTACTCATGCCACCTACGACTAGTTCCACGATTAGTACTACGTCACGATCATTTCCACCATGTTTAGTATTGTTAGAAGTACTACGACCACTACTACAACTACCACTACTACCACTACTACGACTACTACGACTACTACGACTACTACTACTACTACTACTACTACGATGTCCACTACTACGACCACGATTATTGCCAGATCTACGGCTACGAGTGCGATTCCTTTCTACTACTTCATTGATACTACTACAAATATGAAAACAAGTACATTTACGACTTTTACGGCTACGACTACAAATACTTCCGCTACTGTTGCTACTACGATTGCTACGGCTGCTACTGTTATTGCTATTACTACTTACTACAATCAGTGATACTACTACTACTACTACTACTGCTACTACTACTACTACTACTACCACTACTACATCATACTACCTCTGCTACTGCTTGTCCTACTACTGTTATCA